GCCCTTGTGGTCTCTTCCAACTCTATGATTCTATGATTCTGTGATCATGTCCATTCCTACAGCCTTTGCAAGTCCAGGGTAAAAAAGCCACTGTTTAGTCATCTTGGCTGCTAGTGCAATACCCGTTTGTGTCCAGGTTCCCTACAGCAGGGGTAGGCAACCTAAGGCCCGGGGGCCGGATGCGGCCCCGCAAGGCCTTTGGATCAGCCCAGGCCGGTCCTGCTGCCGCTGCCACCACCACCCCCACCACCCGCCATGATGATATTAATTATTGTTGTTATTACTTGTTTTTGGGGTTTTCTTGGCAAAATCTCCACAGAGGTTTTGCCATGGCTTTTCTGGGGCTGAAAGAGTGCGCCTGCATATTTTTTTTTTAAAAAAAAAATTAATTTTTTTAAAAAATATATATTTATTTATTTATGGTGCTTCGGCCCCCCAATTGTCTCAGGGACAGCAACCCGGCCCCCAGCTCAAAAAGGTTGCCTACCCCTGCCCTACAGGATCCCCTTCTCCCATACAATCCACTCTGTACACTCAGGTCCTCTGGGAAATGTTTGTTCTAAGCGGCCAGGATGAAACTGCCATTTTTCATCTGCCGCCCACAGACTGTGGAATGACCTGCCGGAAGAAAGATGACAGCTGAAAATGCTGATGGCATTTCAATGTATTTTAACTGTGGGTTGTATTTTAATATGCAATACCCCAGCCTAAGCCTTGAGGAGAGGCAGGAAAGAAATCATCATCATCATCATCATCATCATTGAGACTTCAGGCTTTATTTGCTCTCAAGTCCATCCATTTGTATTTTTTGGCAGTATATTTGTTATTAATAGATTTTAACAGACAAAACTTTTTCAACCATGCTAAGTTTAATTCTTTTTTAAGGGGGTGTGTGTAAGATATATATGATCATTTATTGTTATTATGTATTGTATTGGTTTGTTTTAACATGCAAGCCGCTTTGATTGCTAATAGTTGAAAAACGGGATATAAATAAAAGTTGTATTACTTATTTATCTGTATCTGTAGAGCTCTCCTCACCAGGCCTTTTTTACATGCTAGTTAATTTATTTGTTTTTCCAGTTTGGCATCAACAGATTTTTCATTAAATATTGGTGCATTTTTTAAAAATAAATTTTATTAAATTAAAATATGAAAACAACTATTTGATTTTCCTTTTTTAAAATGTTACAGTGACTCAATAGTTACAATTGTAATTATATCATACATATATCATGCTGTTTTTAATGCCATTTTCAGGTGTCCTTTTTCTTCTGGCAGGTCATTCCAGAGTTTGCGGGCGGCAGACAAAAAAGTCCTCTGGGAAACCATTGTCAGTCTGTCTGTGAAAAGGGGCGGTATACAAAATAAATAAATAAACAGATAAATATTTAACGCTTTAGTCAAATAAATCAGATGAATTTTTAACATTATCAAAAATGTATACTGTTGTTGTATTTTAGTCAACTTTCTTCTAGACTCTGTTGAATTTTCTATCTGTTGTGCATCTGAATTTCTCTTTTCTTTGCCGTCATTGTAGCCTCTAATCCTATCATACTCTTTATGGGGGGTGTTGGTGTACTTTATTTTTATTCATACAGAAATATTTTAATATTAACTATTGTTGATATGGTAACTTTACACTTATTTAGAGAAGGGTAAAAGAGTTTAACAATTCCATTTCGTTGAAATTAAACGTTCAAAAGCACTTGTAAAGAAAGAGATTATTCCATACATAAGTTAACTAAACTTGATGTAATTTATAAATAAAGAATTTAGAACTCTTCTTCTTCTATAAGACTTCCTTGCAATTTTTGGGATCTGATTTTCTATGTTTAAACTATTTCTATTAGTCAGGGTGGGATAAATGTATTTCTTCAGTACTTTATGCTTTCTTGCTTTTTGAGTTGAGAGCTTGTTGTTTTTTACCACTCATCTTTCAGTGTTTGACAATCCATTAATCTATTTCTATTTCCAATTATTTTGACAGAATTTTGTTAATTTTTCCCCATTCTTTTTCAGCTTTAGTTGTGGATTTTCCATTTAATATTTTTGTTAATTTATCTAACTCAATGACATCTAATAAGTCTATCGACCATTCATCGGTTTTTGGCGTCTCTATGTTTCCAGCAAAATATTTTGCAAAATTAATTCTTGCTATTTTAATCATATATATATATATATATATATATAGGATTTGTTTCCACTTTTTTCATGCTTGGTAATCAATTATTTTATCTGTCATGTTTAACAAATGCACTTCTGGAATTAATTTAAAGTTTATTTTTATGATCTTACAAATATGTAGGTGAATGTTTTTTCCAAAATTCCTTCGTTTTGGGGCAATGCCACCAAATGTGGATCCAGGATCCCTCAGAGTTTTCACATTTCCAACACTTGCGGTTATTGCTTTTGTATATTTTTGCTGTTTTTCCTGGGGGAAGATGCCAGCGAGAGGCCATTTTCAAGTAGTTCCCGCGAATGCTTTGGCATTTTGTAAACATACTCTCTATGAGGTTTCTTTCTTTTTTGTATATAAGTGACTCCAATACTTATGTGCCCACAACAACTTGCAAAAAAGGTGAATGCAATACTCTTGTCCTTGCAAATAGTGCCTGCAAAGTTTGTGTGTCTAGCATGTGCCCGCAAAAGCCTCCAAAATGTGCACACAAGGTGCTTGACTCCAACACTAGTCTCCCCGCAAAGATCTGCAAAGTATGTGAATGCAAAAGCTTGCAATATGTGGGAATGCAAGACCCATGCCCCACAAAAACCTGCTGGATGGGGATGCTAAAAGTATGTGCCCCCAAAGCCTGCAAGGCGAGGGAGTGCAAAACCCTCAGCACCTCCCAAATCCTTGCAAAGTGTAAAAATGCAAAACCTGTGTCCCCCAAAAGCAATGCAAAC